ATTTTTTCCGATAAATCCGTTTATTTCCATTTGTACCGAGGCAATTGTTATTGGGTCTTTTAACAGTATTCCTTTTTCCGAGTATCGGGGAGTTAGCCCGATGACTCAACCCCCAACCTGGAGGACCGGGGTTTGATTTCGGAGTTTCCTCTCCTAGACAGGTTGCTTCCACTACAGCTGAGAGCCCTGTCTGCCCTTCCAATGGGTGGTTCATACGCCTTGAAGCCGGTGACCATCTCCACTACCCCATGAGGCAGGGGTTACCAGCTGGGGTCCGCAGGATTGCTAAACCTGTGACATCAGTCCCCCATACGGGAGTATCGTAGAGTATCATCTATCGTAGACCTGCCAGCTCTAAAACCAGCCTGCTCCTCTGCTTCGTGATCCTGCCATTCGTCCTCGATCTTCGCTTTCAGTATCTTCCCGTACACTTTGCTTATTGTCCCGGTCACTGAGAGCCCCCGGTAGTTGTTACCTGTGCAACTTCATCCTTGTGCAACTTCATCCTTTGCAATAAAATTGTGGAAATTGTGAAAAACTATGAAATTTAGATGGTAATTTGTGTCTTGAATTTACAGTTTTTAGCGAGTAAAATAGAAACTATTAAGGGATAATTGGGTTTTTCCTCCAAGACAAAAGAAGTTGCACAATCTTAGCAACATTGCAATGCTAGTGGTTCCTTTTTGCAAAATGCAATCCAATTGATAATTGATCTATCTTTTTATTTATCATATGTAGATGCTGACGTCCCTACTCGCGAAAATCGTAACTATGCGGAGCGAATTCACTGGTTAGTGGTCAACATTCCTGAAGGCTCTCTTAAGGAAGGAGACGAAGTGGTAGAGTACAAGGGTCCAATAGCACCTACTAAATCAGGTAAAGATAGTTTTTTCGTTTGTTTCTTTAAGAACGTTAGTTTTTTTTTTTGCTTTTTTTTTGTTTTTGTTCTAGAAAACAACTGTACAAGGTTAACACTTTTAGACATCAATAAATGTCCTTTAAAAGCTTAGATTATTAGTTAAATTTAATTTAACAATGTTGAGAAATGGTGCTGGGTCCACACCATTTCGCGGGGAAACAAAGCCAAGAAATTCCAAAAATTAAAATTAGAGTCAAAATTAAATTTTTGAACTCTAATGCGTACCAGTACAAAACTGAGGGGGGAGAGTGTTCAGCTCAGGCAGTTTGCATTGGAATATTAAGTTGGAGTCACGCCGAGAGATCTATACCGGTTTGGGATTCCGGATGGGTATTAGACCTCATCAGCAGATCACACTCGGCAGTCAATCATTTTGAGTTTTCTAATGAGTTACCAAATCTGAATGACTAGTCTACATCTGATCAAATTGACCGTCGGCGCAAACCTATCGGTAACTATCGTCCACTTGGAGTCCGCCTTCAATATCGCGACGTAGGCAACATTTGTGCATCTGAGCGCCCCTCAAACCGCCCCTCGTGGGGCGCATAAATCAGTGTCGTGCCAGGTAAGGAAATAATTCATAAGTTTAGCACTGAGTGCCGTTTGTCTTTCCGTTGGAACAAAACTTTCACATGCATGTGTGGTGATTTTTGCCGAATCGACGGTGTAAGTCGGCAATCACATAACTCGGTTTGCGACGTCGCAGACTTCCTGTCATACTTTATTTTTTAAACGGAAAACTACTCAACGGCAATTCTTTAAAACTGCCGTGATTTTTCTTCTCTGTGTGAAGAAAATTCTACAAGGACTGCAAGAAATGATGCCGATTTGTTCTCGTTTAAAAAAATAACATATAGGCGGAGATTTTCAGACACCACAAACGAGATATGTGATTGCGGACTTACACCGTCGAAATGTACTGTTAGTCCACTTTCACTTGATTTGCACACTTTAAACCGACTTATTGCTTGATAGTTAATTTGCTTTGATGCTTATGCATGCAATTCAGTGAGTGAAGATGTGATTATAAAGTATATGAAATTTTACCTTCCGTACCAATTTGTTGAACGCTTATTTTGCAATTCAACAGGTATGCACCGATATATTTTCGCTGTATTTGAACAGCGTGGTCGTATCGAATACAACGGGACACGAATCGCAGCTCAGACACATAGGTATACATTTATCATTTCTAGACTCTGTTTATATATTTGAGTTGGTTTCTGTTCGACGGGTGTAAGTTCAAAAAATCATGAGGAGCCCTAGCGTCCTGCGTGATCAACGAAAGCCAGGGCTCACGAGTTTTTAGCATTACGCTCATCCAATAAAAACCAATTTATTGAAAGGTTTAGTCGCAAAAAGTCAAATTGCTAACCTCGCAACAAGTTTTTGAGGAAAAAATTAAATTTGTATATTTTTAATGATAATCATAATTTCAATGCAGATGTGCCTCTAATCAAAATTTACTGCTATGAAATTTCTAAGATTACCAATTATTTGATTGCAAGATTATAGCCGAATTGGGAGTTTTAAAATTTACATTCGCAGCATTTTGAGCTCATTGGATTAATCGAACACATGATGAGACCCTTTAGCTAAGACTATCTTTGAGTTACAACACAAAGCAATAGAAGGCTAGAAAATATTGACTCTTCGGAACTTGCTAACGAAATAAAATTTTTCCTAAACAGGCTAAGTCTGGATCGAATTCACTTCCACATCCGAGACTTTTCTGCACAATATAAATTAGGAGATCCAATAGCTGTGAATTTTTTCCTGTCTGGCTGGCCGCTGGATCAGCCTGTTCCAACGTTCACTGTTCCCCCACGAAGATTCAGAGGACCCGGAGAGAATAATGATTTTTCAACTACGACGATCGAAAGCTAGTCTCTAGACGCCAACTTTGAGAATGTAATTTTATTTAGCTGTGAACATCAGCGGTGGATCCAGCAATTTGGCAACTTCGGATTTCCTCCATTTAAACCTATGCTAAATAATCGATACTTGTCAGAGCACCTGGCCCCTCTAAGAATCGATACATTTTCATACGTCTAAATGGAGAAAAACAACGTTGCCAATTTGCTAGATCCGCCAATGGTGAACATGAAGAGTAATGAATAACGAGGGGGCGCGTCCCCTGGAAGCGTCGCGGACCAACCCCCCGAAATTTTATTGTTATAGGAGAAAACTCTCTCTGGAGGTCTGACGCGACGTTTAGTATTTTAGATGCATATATCAACTTGTATCATCTCCAAGAACATTCCGTGGCAAAATAAGTTTCACCGTGCATGAAGCGCGTTGAAGCGCATGAACGTTTTCAAGCGCATGAAGGGTGATCCAAAAGTCCCACACTAACAGCACCATGCAGGTGTAACCCCTATGACTTTTGAACTAATTGAGATACAAACTTAAAATTTTGTGAATGGTCCTAGATCAAAGGAAACGACATCTGGAAACCCCCAGAATTTCTAAGGAATCGCTCTAAAGAGGGCTAAAAACATTGGGGTTATAGGGAGGGTGTGGGACTTTTGGATCACTCTGTGTAGTGCACACTTCCTCTTATACTTATTCTATTCATAACTACGATTTGTTTCATGAATATTACATGTGAGAAGATGACTCCTCAAGATACTTTGAGGAGGAAAATAAATGTTTACATTTGGCATTTAATACCTTAAGCGTGTCGTTTGATGCGCACATATACACATATTTATACTACGCATTATAAAAGACTATTTTATGACGATTGAAAATCTCCTGCCGTGTTACTATTATAATTATAATGTTTTAAAATAAATCATATTAATGTTATGAATGACATTTTATTTTATAAAATTGCATCTTTTAGGTACCCATAGTTGAGTTTGGAAGAAATGTTTCTATCGACGTGATTTTTTGTCTTTTCTAAATGATGGATACAGCTAGTTACCTTAGCTAATTTTTCTGTTAAATTTTAGGTGCTTTTTTAATTCATTAATTTTGCATAATCTTGGGGTAGTAAAAAATACGATTCAATTTCATATAATCAAAGGTATATTTCATATAATAAAGGTACACTCTCAAAAAAAATTTTACGCGAAAAAGCATGTGTTGCCAACACAGGCTTCTGCCCTTTCCTCATTGTTTACCTTACAATAACGAAAGAAAGCATGAGTATAAAAAATGATGATGAATTTATGATCTTCTGAAGAGAATTTCCTATGTCCGGATAAAGTCATTTTTGATCGATCGGCCTTTTTAATTCAGCATATACTCCTAACATAATGGCCATACTACTCTTCATTTTCGTTACAGCCCTGAATAAATGCTCGGAATTTAAATGGTTTTATTACAAAGTGCTACGTCTCACCTCTGATTCAATGGGATTCATGTTTTATTGCTACTCTACATTATCAATCACATTCCATCCTTAAATAAAAAGTATGAAAAGTACCCATCTCACAGTATGAGGACATGTAACCTCTTGCGAATCTACAGGAACACAGTATTATTCTAGTTTCCATTAAAGCAGATGAAAAATTAATCTGAAATAATGGTTGCGAACAAATACTTTTACTTTCCATCAGAGTTAACGAATTTTTACCACACAAATTACACCGTAAAATATTATTAATTGGGTATACATGGACGATCATTTAAGGTATCACGTCATATAGTGTGTAGAGAAAGTAACTTTAACGACTTGTTTCACCATAACAAAATCATGCTGATAATACTGGTGGTGAAAACTTTACAATTGTGTACTGCCATATAATCATGTTGAGTTGGTGCCTTAAGTTCGCCTTCAATTTCGAGTGATACTGTGCCACGCGCGGAAGGTCGAATAGTTGCATTGCACTTGTACCCGCAGAAAGTGTGAGAAAAAACAAGATACCTTGAAACAAATCTTTTATGATTGATCGGCGTTTTTGATGTGGCAGATACTCCGTCAAGATGACGCCGATTACATGATGCGCAAGTTGGTAGAGGAGTATCGGAAGTGGGGTTTGGAAGTCAGTATTTCTAAATCCGAGAAACTGACTTTGGGAGGTGATCAGCAAAGCATTGAGTTGGAGGATGGGCAGCAGATCAAAGGCTGCGAGCACTATAAATACTTGGGGATGCGGTTGACCCAGGATGGAAGAACTGATCAAGCGATTAAGGAAAGAAACACCCTGGCAAGGAAGGCTACAGCGATGTCAAATGGAATCCTCTGGGATCCTCGGATTTCCAAGGAGAACAAGAGGAGAAATTACAACGTTGTGGTCAAGAGTATTCTTAAATATGGATGTGAAGTTTGGCAGCTGAAGGAGCGGACACAGGGGATGCTAAGAGCAACGGGGATGGATTTCTGGAGGAGGTCTGCAGGAATTTTTAGGTGAGATCGGGTCCGAATTAAGAGTGCGTCAGATCATGGGAGTCGAAAATGACATCATATTCGACGTCATGACCAGACAGCTTGTCTGGTATGGTTATGTCAATAGAATGACGGAAAACTTGAAGAAAACTTTCTCGTGAATTACTTCATGTCTCTAGATTAAAGCCATATCCGGCTCGAACGCCTTCCGCTTAAACCTTCTGAAGTTTTTATCACTCTCCTTCCATTTTTCGGATTGCTTATTGCATTGTCTATGTGTTAGAATTTCCTTCGTGCTGTGATTTCTTATTAATCGTTTGAGTCATTTCCTTTCTTCTCAAATCAACTTCCGTTATTTTCAGATTAACACTGTTTAACTGAGACTAACCTTCTGCCCTTTGTAGTCATAAAAGGTTAAAAGTTAAAGATTTTACTCACTTGCACGCGTGAGTAGCGATCGAGCATCGAAAATGGTCCGTACTGACCGAAACGCGTCTGCGGAAAAATTATTAAAAAAACGTGCAAGTGAGTAAACAATTTAACTTTTAACTTTTTAAGTAATTTTCTTGTACGGTAAAGCTCCCCCGAAAGTATTTGTAGTCATACTGCCTTCACATTTTCTGTAGTGCCCATCTTAGTATCCCCATCTTAGTCTGTTCAACTTTCTAAATTTTTCCATAATAGGATTTGCTTCAAATGACATTCCGTCCTCTTTACGTCCTCTTTACGATTATCTACGATGAGATAGTCAGAATGAAAATGAATGTGAGAAGAAACAAAAACGTATACGCAGACGACATATTACTGATAGTAGAATCACGAGACAAAAAACAACTGAAAATAGACACACAAAAACTGACTCAAAGGTTTGAAAAAAAACTGAAACAGAAAAAACTCAAAACAGAAGATAAGAAGACTGAAGCCCTGATCCTCAATTCAAAAAGATGCGATAAAAACACGGAAATAATCATTGATAGAACGACTATAATACCTGAAAATACCCTAGACTACTGAGGCTTCAGATTCGGTTCTAAGATGAATATGAGTCCACATATCAGCGCAGTCTGTAACAAAATGAAAAAGACAACTTCATATTATAGAAGCCTACTACCTAACTTAAAAGGACCAGGATTTTTTCGAAGAAAACTTCTAATTCATGCAATTATGGCAATCCTTTTTTACGGAGTGACAATTTGGCAAACAGCGATTAAATTTAAGAAATCCAAAAATCTAATAACTTCCACCCTAAGACCATCGAAAATTTCACTATGCTCTGGATACACTTCTATTCCTAATTTTGCTATAGACATCTTAACGGGAATCCCATCTATAGAATTACAAGTTAAGGAAAAGATAAGAAATTGTAAAAGAGAGCAGAGTGAAACGAATCAGACAGAAACGGAAGCATATATAAGAAAGAAATGGAGAGAAATATGGGTACAAGAACCAGGAAACTTTGTGGTTCAAAGATTCAATTGGAGACTTAGACAAATGGTTGGACCGCAAACATGGGGACCCAGATTTTTATGTGACCCAGTACCTTAATGGTCATGGATCTTTCAGGAAATATCTCTTTACTCGAAAATTAATCGACTCTCCCCTGTGCCCCAGTTGCGGGACAGTTGGCACCCCGGAACACGTCTTCTTTAATTGTAATAGATTTAAAAAAGATCGAGAAGAAGTTGAAATAAAATTCAAAGAAAAAATAAGCAAAAACAATTTCTTAGACAAGATACTTGAAGATAAAAGTAGTAAAAACAAAGATTTTGAAAAAATATAAATTAGAAAAGAACCAAGTAAAAATTCCTCCGATGTAATGTCAGAAGACGGTGCCGGAGTGTCAACCTCACGAGTGAGTAGTGTTAGCCGGTGAATTAATCGCGAACCTTTTTCCTTTAGTAGAGCCAGTCCGGCATAATTGTAGAGCAGAAGATTTTGCTAGATTTCTCGGTTTTTGTAAGTGAAGTGTCTTTTAAAGTAGCTTCCTATCTTTTACTTATTATTTTTCATTAATTTGCACTTTATTTGCATCTGTTGGGAGGTCAGGATTCAAAATCGGAAGCGATACGATATGAGCGAGCTCATTTTGATACACTCGTGGGTGTTAAAGACACACTCAAAAAAAAAAAAAAAAAAAAATAGAATGACGGACAAAAGGCTGCCAAAGTAGCTGCTTAATTGGGTTCCTCCTGGGAGGAGACGAAGGGGACGCCCAGTGAAAGGGTGGCGACAGGGGGTTTTAGAAGAAATGAGGGGTTGTCAACTCCCTGAAGGGCTTTCGGAGGATAGGGGACTTTCGCGGCTAGGGATCGCAGAGCGCCAAAGAGCGCTATAAAAGCGGCTTTATACATACATAGATAGTCCTAACATAATGGCCACTACTCCTCATTTCCGTTGCAGTCCTAGAGAAGCAGGATTCATAAAGTTCCATTTCGAAATGCTATGTTTCGATTCTGTTGGAGGTTGTTCCTTGGAGTTGAATTTGATATTCTCTGCAATTACATGTCTTTGTAGCTGACACAAAGTGTCCATCTTCTTGATTATTTCGCCTTAATCTTCAGACGTTTCTAAACGCTCTGCAATATAATCCTCTCACGATCATCTGCGCCAACGATGTTCCACAATTCAGCGGGTTTACTATATCATTCCATGAATATTAGCACGTCATTGAACGCACGTTTAAACTTTATCCAATCGTCCCTTATATTACCTTTGACTAAGAAAGGTTCAGGTTTATTGTAGGTTTCCACCATGATTTCCGGAAGTAACCTCTAATAACTGAGTCGGCGTTTACAAAAGGCGTTCAGTTCACTGCACCAAATGACATTCACTGAGTCGCTGATGACCCGATTTCACTGGGCTTCGAATAGAAAGACGTCCGGCAGGCTTTCACTGATACAGTATCCGGATCTGAAGTTCAAACTTTTATAGTAGCCACGATCGGCTTTCGTAGGCTTTTAAGGTTTTCACACGCGTGGACTCTTTCGGGTATCAATTTGTAATCAGATCTTTTAATCCATCTCAAAATCATTTTTTTCCATCTCATTATCAGCCGTGAATGCTTAAATTATGCAACGCATATCAAACGGAAATCCATCTACCAAGCGTTTTATAAACATCACAATAGTGTAGCAGTAGTAAGCTCCTAAATATCTCTTTATTTTGATAAGAAATATCTGTTAAAAAGCTATTGAAATTAAGCTCACCTTGTGAAAAATTTTCAAAAAAGTAAAGCTATTAATTTATCCCAGAGTACTAACATCCGTTCCTAGAGTCAAAAAACTTCCTCGGTAGAAATTCAGTATGGAATCTTAAGTCGACAAACTTCATTTTCTGAACATGTTTCCGAAAAATTGTTTTCGGCTGAGCGGAACGACTCGTCGAATTGCTATACTTCTGTTACTACTGACTGGTACAGTGATAACGGAGGATAATGGACATACCGAAAAGAATTTCAACGCAGCTAAGGAAAAAGTACCACCATCACCGACTGCAGATGGCAATGCCTCCGCTGCTGCAGCATCGACAGAAAATTCCTTCGGGACGGCCACTCCAAATGCGCAGAACAAATCCAAAGACATGATCGAATCATTTTTATTGAGCCATGCAGTAATTCCGGACGTGTTGGCGGTTGCACCGTCTCACGTCCTAGAGGTAAGCCGACTTTTAGCGATGACGGATTTTACAAAGGTGCCTGGTGCTATGGAAGCTATTGCAACAGAAGAAACAAGAATCTCGTCACGACCTATAAACGTTAGGGCTGGCGGTTTGTCTCATGAATTTTTTTTTTTTTTATTTTTTTATTTTTTATTTTTTTTTTTAACCGTAATAAAGAAGGTAATAAAATAATTGGTTGGGAGTTGCAGAGTGCCCTTAGCGCCGTTGCAGGAATTGGCCTATTGAGTTGGTGCCTTCAGTTTGCCTCCAATGGTACTGTAAGTGCCACGCTCCGGTTGTCAGATAGTTGCATTGCACTTTTGTATGCTAAGAATACTTCGCGTTCCTTTTTACTGCTATTCTTTAAAATCCAGCAACGTTAGTTGTTGTATCGACTTAAATCGAGTCTTCTCAGTGTATAACTACGGTCATATTTGGTATGAAAAGTGAGGAACTATGAGTCAACTTCTATAAAATAACATATTATAGAGTTTAAAAGTAGTTCGCAACCACTTACTGCACAACGTATCACACTTGATTTTTTTCACCATCTGCCAAGATCACGTATATTGAAAATTGCGCCTGATAGACAATTTTATGTAACTTCGTTTTTAAATCCGGTTTTTGTAGCTGTTGAATCTCAGAAAAATAGAAATAATTAAGAAGAAACGACACTTTTATTGAGGACCATTCACCAAGAATATACCAAGAAAAAACATAAGAAAAGCATAACCTCTCTAGATCTCAAATTTTATCAACAGCTGTTTTTTAGCAAGTATTAAACTTAACATCCTGCCCCCGGCTGATCTATTTGATCAGAACAGGTAATGGACAAAGTTCTGTCACGGCTCGAATAAGTACAGAAGTCGGAGTCTTCACTTTTGCAACCCTAACGTGTCCATCAGTACCAGGATATGTTTTGATGATTCTTCCCAAATTCCAATAAAGTGCAGGTGAATTTCTATTTTTGACAACAACCAAGCTTCCAACTTGAATATGACGATTGCTCGTATGCCATTTGGCACAATACTGCAATACTGCGGTAATTTCTTGGCCGAGATTGGACCATTGAGGGGCCAAAACCGCTGCCGAATCATTGATAACAACATCTGCGGAGGAGCGTGCATAAGTCGCCTATGTTCCTGCCAGAATAATAACTCGGTGAATCTGTGTTTTGTAGGTAGTAATAGCGGGTGTTTTTCCTCATAGCTTAGTGTCGAATTTTGAAGTCTTCCACCAACTCGTAACAACTTCTCACCATCCAAAAATGGGTGCAATGTCTTGATACTACTGGAACTTTGTAGAATACCGTATTTCCTTGATAAGTGTGCAATTTCCTCGGGGAATGATTCTTGTTGAATAATCTTTACGCAAATTTTTGTTGCTCCGTCCATCTCCCGCGAAGAAATATTTCCACTTTTTATTTCTGACGGCTTATTAGCGAGACGTGCGCGGATATTATGCACAAATCTGAACATAAAACCAATAATGCGCAATATTTTGTTCAGCGACGAAAATCTATGTAACAAATAATGCAGGTCCGATGAAGTTTGAACTATTGCTCCGAACATTATTTTAATCTCTTTCCTAATTTCTGGAACATCTAGCAAAGATGGAAGTTCAACATTCGTTTTTGGCCACATATTTTCTCTTGAATTGAGATACTCTGGGCCTTGCCACCACAGACTTGAATTTGATAAGTGTTTAGCTGACGCTCCTCTGGTGATCAGATCGGCCGGATTATTCTTAGTGGATACGTGACGCCAGGTTGCTTTCAAAGTTTCTTTGAGTGACTGAATTTTATCTACTCTGTTAGCAACGAAAGCTTGCCACTTGTTAGGTGCATTGCTAATCCAATGTAAAGCAATGGCAGAATCAGACCACATAAATGTGGATGCGGGTTCTATCTGCAAGGCGGAAGTTACTTTTACCATCAACTTGGACAAAAGTAGTGTGGCTGCCAATTCTAGACGTGGTAAAGTCTGTTTCGTTCTAAGAGGCGCAACTCTTGATTTAGCGCAAACTAGTTTTGTGACTCTTTTTGATTTATTCGTGACCGAAACATAAACGCAAGCTCCAAAACCTTTCATAGATGCGTCAGAAAATCCGTGAAATGTTATTGTCTCATCATTTCGAAATATCAAAAGATGACGGGCGGTTCTAAGAGGAGTTAAATGATGTATGCCGCTGATTTGCCAACGTAGAACTTCTCTGGCTTTCATTTGATTCATGACATTTTTTTTCTTCAACAGATTCAATGATTCTTTGACGTCTCTTGAGAAAATCCAGTAATTCGGTTTGAGTCGGAGGGTCAATGGGGTGCGCTACTTTTTCCCAGTCGGCCAAAGTATCTTCATCAAATTTAGAAATTACCACGTAGGCAAGGATAGGGTCCCAACAACAAGTGAGAACATTTGATGCTTTCAAAGAATGCAAAGTTTGGGTGATCCTATTATACATGCTTTCTAAATGGCTTGAATTTAGTTTTCTTGGTTTTCCGTTAGGGAAAATATCATCCATATTTAAGAGGTTTTTAACTTGCTGATATTGCAAAAATTTCCTGTTGTCATAACGATCTGACAACGCTTTTAAGGCCACTTCATAATTTTCTTCAGAAAAATTAATCTGTTTTATAAGAGCGGCTGCTTTACCAGTAACTGATTTTTTTAAATGGGTAAATTTTAATATAGTTGGTATTTTTGTGTTATGTACCAGTGACGTAAACATTTGCTTAAAAGTCTGCCACTGCATGTAGCCTCCAGAGAATTCAGGCAAGTCTACGCGTTTCAAAGAATTGCCGATGTTTGGTGGAGACAGTATTTGAGCACTGGAACTCTCTGAACCCTCTGAGGTGGTGGCTTCTGTAGGATTACGTTTCATGACACTTTTTGCCTTTGTAATTGTATCATAATATTTTGATTCAAACTCTTCCAAGTCTGATGTAGTTTGAAGTGAAGGATTAAGCAGTTGGAGTTCAAATCCAACTCGGATAAATTGGCTAAGGAATCCTTTTGAGTCTTCAAACCTAGCCTCAATGATCTGCACATTGGGGGCATCACTATTTACGACTGTTGCAAAGCGATCGAGCTGAAATATCAGTTGATTCTTTGTTGCGAGAAGTGCATTTTTCCGTAAGTCATCCATTGTCGGTGAGTGTTGAATCACTCAGCTGATACAGCAAAGATTCAAATTCAAAAGATGGTTGTTACATTTCGGTTTGTTGACTATTGACTTCTTGAGTCAACCTCAAACTCAAATGCACCGATGCCGCTTTGTCACTGACACCAAAAGTACAAATTTGAAATCAGTAAGATTATATATCAATACTGACAAATTAAACGACTCAATTGGCAAGATTAGATATCAATACCAATGAGGTTATATTTCTCAGTCGGCAGGATTAAATATCGATACCGAGGAGAATGGAACTTTAATTCGGCAAGATTAAATATCAATACCGATTATATTCCTTTGTTTTGATGAGAAGCTTGAAGTTCCACCAAAACGTCGACTGATCAGGTCGAATAAAATTTAGACACGGCAATTCCAATGTCTTTCAAGGTTGGGTACCCAGCGTGCAGATTGCAACCAATACAGGAATGCAATTTCAACAAAAACTCAAACAAAACTCATAACTTGACCTCTTTCTTCTGCATCACGTCGAGGTCACCAAATGTTGAATCTCAGAAAAATAGAAATAATTAAGAAGAAACGACACTTTTATTGAGGACCATTCACCAAGAATATACCAAGAAAAAACATAAGAAAAGCATAACCTCTCTAGATCTCAAATTTTATCAACAGCTGTTTTTTAGCAAGTATTAAACTTAACAGTAGCAGTTTATGAAGAATATTGACGTTAATTTTTTTAAGTATGATGAGCTATAAAAGAAGTAATAACATTTTCTAGGTGGCCTACTCACGAAGAAGCATTATAAATTTTGGGAATAAATTGGAACCAGCGTTGCTGCAAGAGAAACCTAGACATATTGTTTGGCCATGGACTAATGGATCATTCTACTCTCTAGTATTAGTGGGTAAAACATATTCTATTCTAAACTTCTATGCATTTTCGTTGAGCTTTCACACGTAAATTTCACCATTTTCATAAAGATGCTGAGGGCCTGAAAAATGCTGGAATTTGACAAATTAAACTGTAGGGGAAATAAATCGAGCTACTTTGTGACACACATGTGTGGTTTATTGAAACTTATTTTCTGTACTGAAGGCATTTATTATTAAGTAGTGAATAGGTCAAACTACAGCTCGACATATACCGTATACCGTCTATTTTAATTTTCATGATGACCGCTCAGTAATATTTTATAGAAAACTGAGTGATTACATCCAGGCAAGTTATTTCATACGTCACCGTCATAACTAGATGTCATTACTTGAATCGTGTTCAACACTCAATAATTGAAGATAGTTCTGAGTTCATTGTTTGCTTTGAAGAAAATACGGAACACGTTGAGGAATTCACTTTAAATTTTTCAGGATTTATTTTATTTATTATTCGAGACTTTTGAGAGACATGTAGCATATCTTGCCAGACGTTTTCCCTTTTCTCTTCGATTGCGGAAAAAATTCTCTCAACACAGTTTTAAAGTGGGGGCTCTAGGTGGCTGCAGTATGAATCTATGATTTTAGGGCGGAAAGTCAACGAAAATTTCAATCTGAGCGTAGACTCCAAAAATGGATAAAAAAAAGAACCTTAATTTTTATTAACGATTGTCGATTGGCGTCGCTCAAAATTCCAAAGGCTTCATGTACTTTATCGATAACCTAGGATAGATTTTGTCGTCTTTTTGGAGTCCATGCTGAGGCTGTTATATTGCTCACCTCAGCTATAGTTACTATACGTATCGAATCTACTTTGATATCCCAACTTCAAGTGCATATCATGACCTAACAAATGTTTCTGTCTCTTGCGAACAGATGCTGATGTACCCTCGCGCAAAGCACGTGCTTTTGCAGAGCGAATTCACTGGTTAGTCGTCAACATTCCCAATAACCATATTGACGAAGGAGAGCATGTGATAGAATACATCGGTCCAATAGTAACGCCTAGATCAGGTAAAAATTATCATCCTAAACATCTTCTACCCTTTTACCTTGAATGATAGCAATTTGACAAGATATTACGTCACGTCGCCTCTCCTCTGGCGTAAGATCGTATCTCGATTTCCATTCGCCTTTACCTCAGAGGAGCGACGAAGTAAGAAAACATTATGATAGTAAAATTAAAAAGAAAAATCTACAACGCTATAACGCGTCAAATGTGTGTCTCTTTCGAGAGCCTCAGCAGTCACATGACTGTGCACAGTTTTTTTTTAAGTTCATTTAATGTGAAAAAAGTGACCAAGTTTACACGTGGCTGTAAAAAAAAATATTTTTGTCCATCAACTTGCTTGAAATTTTTATTTTGGTGTCAACAGGAATGCACCGATACATTTTCGCAATGTTTAAGCAGCCTGACAGAATTGAATACGAAAAAACAAAGATTTCAGCTCAATCGAACAAGTAAGCCTCTGCAATACTTATACATTTTATGATAACTCGACATGAAAATACGCGACTCGGGTTCAAAGAAGTAGGGTTTAACGGCTGCAAAAGGATTGCACGAATCTTTTTATCTTTTTTATCTTTTTTGGGATGCGTAGGATTGCGCGAATTTTTTCTGGTACTAAAAACTCGCATATTTGCACGAACATTCAATATTCAACGAGGAAGCGTTAATCTGGCAATCTTGGTAGTTTGTGGTAGGTAACTACGTCGTGGAGGACTGTTCAGTGTTCATTCCCTCCTCACTTACGGGCATGTCTCTCTTCGGTACTTAGATAGTTCTCGCAGCACGAATGGCCCAGAGAGCTTTCACAGACATGTAAAAGTGAACTAGGGGTCTATGGCCGCAATGCGGTTACCAACCACTGGAAACAACTACACGTAAAAAATCGTAGAACAACCATGCTCAAATTTTTTAAGAGATGAATGGATTCAAAACCCGACGGGTTCACCCGAAAGAAAGATTGTATTTATCTCTGATCGCAAAGCTATGCACCACTTTTATGTTTTATTTTCAATAAATGTTTTAAAAAGCTACACACAGCTTTTCTGAAAAGTCTCTGATAATTCACCTGAATGATCTCAAATAAAAGTATTGAAAATTTTGACACGACATTTTCGTTCGTTCTATTTTCCTTAAACTAAAAAAAAAAAAAAAAAAAAAAAAAAAAAAAAAAAAATTAAATATCATCTAAATTACTGAATCGTTACAATGAGGACATTTTTTCCCTTTAATTATAGTAGAAACTGCAGCAGAAAGTCATGAATGATGACACGTAGTCCTACAGCATTCCTACCGTCTTGTAGGCGCTAATATGCACATCACGCCAACTGACCGACAGCACTNAAAAAAAAAAAAAAAAAAAAAAAAAAAAAAAAAAAAAAAAAAAAAATTAAATATCATCTAAATTACTGAATCGTTACAATGAGGACATTTTTTCCCTTTAATTATAGTAGAAACTGCAGCAGAAAGTCATGAATGATGACACGTAGTCCTACAGCATTCCTACCGTCTTGTAGGCGCTAATATGCACATCACGCCAACTGACCGACAGCACTGCGTTTGGCGTAATGCGAGAAGTATTCATGCAGTCTTGTAGGCGCTGATATAGGCTTTGCGCCAACCGCACTGTTTTGCGCAATGCGTGAAGTATTCCCAGGGTCTTGCAGGCGCTAATATGCGTTTAACGCCTGCCTCTGCCCCACTGTGTTTGGCGCGATTATTCGAATTCGCGTTAGAATAATCGCGGTATCGAATAATAGAGCCTATGAGGCTCTTGTTGTGTTTCGACACCGTATGAGCATTCCAGCGTTGCCTCGTTTCTCCCGATTAAATATTTTTTCCGAGAGAAGTTAGGTAAGTTCTTTATAACAACGACCATTGTTCAATCTTTTCACTTTATTTATCATCAGAAGGTAAGACATCGATGACTTGTCAACAAACTAACCTAAATTATTAGTCCAGGCAAATAAGCCATGAAAAGGGCTATAGCCTGCAAAAATCCCGGGTAGCAATGTTTTCATCGATTCCTATGTAATTTTTGACGCTAAATCCGAATTTTAACTTTGCGCCATTAAATTCGGACCGGAAAGTTGCCAAATTTGGCAAAAATGGCCTAAAATCGGACTTTTTCCGGATTATGGCCTGTAACTTGCCCAAAATTGATCTGACGATAAAATTAGTTATTTACAGAAATAAAGCTCGTTAAATTTCCTATAAAAAAATTCTTATACACTTTTTTGCTCAAGGCAAAATCAAGCGCGCTGGTGGGCTCCAAACTTTGATAAATGAGCGAAAATTTGGTTACTTGCGGGTTATGGCCTGTGACTCGTCCAAAATTGATCTAACGACAATTTGGTTGTCTTAAAAAAAAAGTTCGTTAAATTTCCCATAAAAAAGTTCCTAAACACTTTTTTGCTCAAGCCAAAATTAAGCGCGCTGGCGGGCACCGAACTTTGAAAAATGAACGAAAATTGCGTTTTCTTGCGGTTTTTGCAAAAATCCCGGGTAGTTATGCTCTCAGTGATTCTTGCGTAATTTTTGACGCTGAATCCGAATTTCAACTTTGCACCATTAAATTCGGACCGGAAAGTTGCCAAATTTGGCAAAAATGGCCTAAAATCGGCCTTTTTTCTGGATTATGACCTGTAACTTGCTAAAAATTGATCTGACGATAAAATTAGTTATTTTCAGAAATAAAGCTCGTTAAATTTCCTATAAAAAAGTTCTTTTACTTTTTTTTGCTCAAGGCAAAATCAAGCGCGCTGGCGGGCTCCAAACTTTGAAAAATGAGCAAAAATTGTGTTTTTCGCGGATTTTGCCCGATGTCTCCTGTTTTAATCGTCCGACGAGTAATTTCTGGACAAATTAAGTGAAGATGATTAAATGTACACTTAGTGAAATGAATTGATGTAAATAATAAGGATAACCCAACACATTAAAGTATGCGCAATTTTCGCACATTTTACAAAGTTTGGAGCCCGCCAGCGCGCTTGATTTTGCCTTGAGCAAAAAAGTGTATAGAAACTTTTTTATAGGAAATTTAACGAGCTTTATTTCTGAAAATAACTAATTTTATCGTCAGATCAATTTTGGGCAAGTTACAGGCCATAATCCGGAAAAAAGTCCGATTTTAGGCCATTTTTGCCAAATTTGGCAACTTTCCGGTCCGAATTTAATGGCGCAAAGTTGAAATTCGGATTCAGCGTCAAAAATTACATAGGAATCAATGAAAACATTGCTACCCGGGATTTTTGCAGGCTCTTTTCCTTGTTTGCCTGGACTATATAGCGTTAACATAAGAGCTTTTATTTTTCAACTGCTCCCTGTTTTGCCAAACTTTTACCGTAAAGTAACTTCATTTTAAATTGGTGCATTCCTGTAGCAGATGTTACGGATTCTATTCGCGCAATCCTTATGCCTTTTCCGCGCAATCATCATATGTTTTCTTAGACCTTTCAAGCAATCATGGATTAGTGGGTTCAGCTGCAGTCAGCGATGAAATCAAGTCTCCAACCTAATTGAGTTTCCTAATAGGTACGTTCTTACAGCCAAAATGAACACTCCGGGTAGATTACAAAAAAAATTTTTGAATCGATATTTGATTTGGCAACACTTTTAACGCGTTGAATTGGATCGATATTATTATTTTTCTGGATTTCGTCACCCGTAATGGTAGGTTATCATTTTGATGTACTTACGTATCAGATATCTAGAAATCTTTTGAGTACCTAGATTTTTAGGTGTAATTTTGTTCCAAAGCATTGAATCATTAGATATGAATAGGTAAGTAGGCTTAAGTCTGCTGCTTACTTAAACGCGTTAGCACATCATTCGTACATAAAAAGAAAATAAAATTAATGTAGTGGCATTTGACTGAAGATCTTTTCAAGAGCTCTAACTCAAAAACTTTCTAGCAATTTTCAGAAATTTTGTGGAAAATTTCAAACAAAAAAAGCATTTTAAAAGTTGATTTTGGAATTAATTTGAGTTAACTATTTCTGAATTATCAAAGTTAAATTTTTATGTTTCTTTTTCCTCCTATTCAGGATGAGTCGCGATCGACTTTACTTTCACATTCAAGAATTTGCGGCGTATTACAGATTGCACGACCCAATAGCTGTTAACTTTTTTCTGGGAGGTTGGCCGCTGGACCAGCCTGTTCCGATTGTTACGCTTCCTACCAAAGAATCCAAGAGAACCGCCTCTGATGTGAATTCGTGATTGAATTTTAAAGGGACATCATTCATTCTTTACGGAGAAAAATCATCATTCAAAAATATTCAGACTAAAAAAATGCTTCTTTTCATTATTGAAGGAATAATTTGCAATTATTTTTTTGGAAAAAGGGTTCTACAACTTTCAAGCTTTTTAACATCAAATTCATTAGCTTTTAAGCTTTTAATGATAAAAAAAAAATACGAGAACGTTCATGTGTGTCTTCACTTACAATCGTTTTACTAGATGAACTATCAATTTTTGAAAAGAAAAATCCCTTGGACGGATCCAGAAAAACATGGTCAGGGTCACTATCGGATTCAGTGGGCAAAAATGTGTAGAAACGCATGTATGGCATGCCACAAAATTTTCCATATTACTTCTGATGAGGAGGTTTTCCTGATCAAAAATCATTATCGTCCAGCCATTCCCATATATACCACCAATACCACAAAGTTGAACTGATCCGATTGTTTTGTGTCTGGAAGGTCAGGAAAGCAAAATTTCTCATGAGTCTTATGACGCTGTATCCAATTTATCTTAGCTGTTGAATTCGAAAATCACCTTAATTTTTCTCCGCCCTGCACAATTTTTTGGGAAGATCGAACTCCCCAAAAAAATTCCAATTTTTCCCGCTGAAACCGACTCATGGAGACAAAAAGCTGCCATTTTCGGTATTAACCCTAAAAATCTACCGAGATCCTCTTCAAATCATTACGGCTACAGGATCTGTGTTGGCACAATGATACATTGTGTTGAAAAGATGCCATAGAATTTAAGGAAAAGACATTTTCTTTCTGTTTTAATTATTTGTAAAATGAAGTATACCTAGGTCATTATACTTTTCTCTGAGTCCCGTGCTAGATGTATGGTTTCAGCTCACTGAGAAAGGATGTTCGCAATTCAGTCACATAAACCGTAAGACGATGTTGTAAGAGTATATTGGCCGTACTCTTTGATTCGAGTGATCCCACTCTCGGATGTAGGTACCATATCCTCGTTCAGTGCAACGAAGCTTTCACACCGAAATAACTGTAGAATAAACTCGGTTGCATGAGCCAAGGAAATACGGTACTTTGAAGTTCTAAGTTAGAACTGAGAGTATATGGACACATAAACCGGGCAGTAATAGAGCACTATGCTTACGGTTCGTTAGACCGGAAATTGTTTCTTACTGTAAATATTAAATGATTAATCTACTTATTTGTACATACTTTTCGTGTCGAAAACACTTATGAACTTATAGTTAAAATTGAGCATTATATTCATTTATGGGAAAAATTCTAGAATAGAAACAAAAAATTGATTTTTGACGCGATAACATGGTTTTTCAGTTAGATGTTTTTATTAGGTATATACATTGTTAGATTAGTCTTATTAATGACAGTGTTTAGTAGCTTATAACTCAATTGTTACTTTTCTCGCTCGAACCCGAAATTTTGATTCGCGGCTCACAATTTTCACATTGACAGCTTGAACTTTTTGACGCCTAAAGTAATTGATAATTAATAAAATGAATTTATGATGAAGTTTACATAAATGCACTATTTAAAGAGAATTGTAATTAAAATTATGGGATTGCCAAGAACACACAAAAATATTTAAAATATGTTTAGGGTATGTCTTCATAGAGCAAATGTACGCACCCGAAGAGTAATTGAGAATTGTTCATTTTCCTTTGGCAACATTACCATCAAAAGTTGATAGTCCGTAATTTATTAAAAAGGAAATTACCAGTCAAAATTTAATCTTCTCTCTTTGGTGCACAAATCCATTCAGATAAGAATACCCCGTTCTTTCCTCAAGCGTATAGTACTGAAGTAAACTATGCACTCGTAAAGTATTCAAATATGAATATATCTCATTTACTTTTAACTTATATGTTTCTAAACTTCATCTTTGCCTGTAACATCTGCCTTCCGACATAATATGTCATCATGATTCCTTTAAATGTTGCTTACTTTACAAATACTCTTTGTACAAGCTTGTTAATTCTATTTTTATAAGAATAAAAAAATAAAACCATAAAAAGCCTGTTTTACTAGAATATGTAACACGCAGTATGAGATTGTGAGAATACGACTACTTCAACGCGGAAGATGCGTATTGCATATTTCCTCATATGAAGGCGAATCTCACACTGTGGTAAATTCCTAAATCCGCGCACTTCATGAAGCTTTGATTACCTTGCAGTTTTCATGGTTTAAGCCCAGATGCGTCTCTTTTTTGTCGAAAAAGTTGCCTACCATTCAAAATTAGGGTAGATCACACTTTGACGTCTCCAGAATAGATCCTGAGTCCACTCTCAAGTTTTAAAATTGACTCAAACTATTCAATTTTTTACAAGAATATAAAACCAGTGCTTTTTTCCAAAATTTTGCCGTTTTTGCGTGTGATTATGAGAAAAATCAGTGAAATTTGCATTCAAGAACACCCAACAGCTTCTTAGTAAGAGTGCAATCTGTGATCATAAATTTTGCAACTTTGGAATCAAATTGCGTCCCTCCGTCACTTGTGCGTTCTTGCTCACTGGAGGCCTCGTTTCGCGGCGGAGTTATTTCCGCCTTCATTTCATTAAGAGGCAAAAACTGTTGCGCATCAAGATTGTCGCCTAACCGTTCAAAAAGGAGACGAAAGACGATTTGTTTCTCATTTTTAACCTCATTATTCACGAGAAATAAGGCTTTGTTTGTATTCCGTCCGTCATCACGCAAAAATAAATTCATGTGGATAAAATTATTCCTGATTAGCAGAACAATTAAAAATTATTCCTGTGGTTATAATAGAAATAACACTTTAAAGTCCTATGTTGCCCTGCCAAGCGTTTTCAGCACATCGATGGTTAAAGTCGGAAAATGGATATCCTAATTGCAAGGATTGAAAATCTCCGATTGTTTTACTTTCCTAAATAAAAACCTACCATGACATTGTCTACGAATATTCTTGAATCAGAGAGAAATAAATTGCCGAAAATTTTAAGAAAAACAGTCAGCTAGTTTTTTTTTTTTTTTTTTTTTTTTTTTTTTTTCGGAAAGCTTAAACACAATCAGAGATTTGCAATGTTACGATCGGAAGTACGCATACAGCATTCTATCTATTCCTATTAGGACAACATTTACGACTCCCAAAGACGTAACGGATCCATTTCTGATTGGTTCCCTTATTTTCGGCCTCCATAGTGTCACAAGCGGGAATAAAGATTACATTTTCACCATAATTGCAAAGATTATACACTGGAATGGACCGGGGAGTTAGGGGCACGGCAAGGAATAAACGGAATGAGAGATGGAACGGAGACAGGAATTCGGGAATGAATTGATCAAGGATTACGAAAAACGTTCAATTTGTGTAATCTTTACTCCCGTTTGTGACATCTATGAACCGCGTTGTCTTAACTCCTCTACGCTATACTTGAAGCTTACGAAAGGATGATAGTGCTTCTCAGAGTTGAATTTCGGGCTCAATGCTCAATCATAGTTTTATTTTTGGTGACGGTGATAACTCTTAGTCGATGGCAAGACTATGTCATCAGCTATCACGGCGTTCCTAAGTTGATAAAAGTATTGGCTAATACATATGCGTTGCATCATTCCTCACGAAGTATTTTTCAAGTGACGTGACCTCTCGCTGATTCTTTCTATAGCGCTCCAAACGCTGAAAGAAATAATTAGAAACAAATGTGACTTTGAATTTGAGATGGTTTGTTCCGTTTGTTGTGAAAATACACATATACCTCTTTGAATATCCACTTAATTTACACCTTTTTAGGTTTTTCTTCAACCTCGCACTTCATTGAAGATTTTGATCATTCAAAACACACGGTAAGAAAGCTTGGGCGTACATTTATTCCCAAACTTGAGATAAAAAACGACAAAAGATACCAATTACGCGGCAGATATTATTAGTTTCCATTTGATTCTTATGTGCATCATGGCAAATAATTTAATCATCGCGAACTTTTCATCGTTATTTTAGGGACTTTGTTGCTTTCATAAAATCAAGAGTCCATATTTTATGAACGTGTAGCAATAGCAACAGGTGTAGCGCAACCCTGATCTGCTATGCTTAGTAAGAACGCCGTATGAGCCATCGGGCGTTACCAAATTTCCAGCAACAAATCACAAATTTTCAGGAAAATTTATTTACATTTCTTCTCCGATTTTTCAGAGGATTCCATTCCTAATTGGATCTAATACGTCTGAAATTTTTAAGGAAAAATATTCACAACTTTTTTCAAACAGAAATATTTTCAAAGAAGAAATTTGGTGACATTCGCGATCAATACTTATTCGGCGTTTTTACATGGCACGGCAGTGCGCCAGCCAATAGAAACGTCGCTCATATCGCCGGCGCCGCCGCTTCTCATTTCCCCTCGCATCCTCTGTATCTGCACAGCGGATCTCTCCTTGCGATAGCCAATGAGAAGCGGCGGCGCTGACGCCGCGCGACGTCGTTATTGGCTGACGCAGGATTGCGATGCACCCCCTGCATGTCCCCTTAAACGAGAACGTTCATCGTGTCATGCTACGAGTAACCGTTGAAAAAGAATTTGCACCACATCTTCAACATCCAGATGTTTAAAAATGTTTATTTTAAGATAATGAAAACAACAAAGGGGCACACCATGGCAAACTATCGCTGTTTATGTCAGTAAACGAATATTTTGAATAGACTGGATATTCATTTTTTTTTTAATCCATTTTCACTATTTTCAGTTGTAAGAAAATGAATATTTGATATTATCAAAGCATCTAATTAAACCAAAACTTTAATATCGAAACTGAATTCTAGGTGGCGGTAGCCACCCCGGCCCAATCCTAAAAAACTCCCTCTAAAAAATGACGACCCAAAAAAAAAAAAAAAAAAAAAAAAAAAAAAAAAAAAAAAAAAAAAAAAAAAAAAAAAAAAAAAAAAAAAAA